TTTATAGCGGTACAGTTGGCACTCGCCGCCATAAATCCAAGTCAGTTTGCTTATGCTTACATGAGCGGACCAGAATATACAGCTAACGTTGTCGAAGAAGTAGTTCATTTAGTCAAATGTAATCCTGTAGAAGTCTCAGTAAGGTGAACCAGTTGATGTCACTCGGAGTTGCCAGTGTCCTGGAAGAATAAAAGCCTTTTTGTCGCACTTCGCACGAGGCTACTCCAGACACACGGAATAGAAGTCACATGCAACATATTCATGAGATCAATGTTTTGACGAGGACTGGTGTGCACTAACATTCGCAATTATACGCGTACCAGCTCCACACCGTATCGAATCTTCTACCCCAGGGAACTATAAACACACATCACCGGCGGGGATAGCAGTTGGCGGTATATATGATTATCAAAAAGTGGGAAGAATGAGACAACAGATAATATACCCGAATGAAAGAACAGCCATCACAAATGTCATGGCCAAAAGCATGGCCGATCAACAGCCGGATATTCAAAGTCTGTCGCTGCAAGGGATGCTAGATAACATTATTCATCAAAAAGATCTGCGTAAGTCTCCTTCAGAAAGCTTGGTGAAAATTCACCGTCTCCGGCAACATAGTGGCAGGCCTGATTGGAATCATGGTTTTGTGCAAAGAAGTAAAGTGAGTGATCAGTACTCTTTTCCATGGAAAGATCTTGTACGACCTTTACGGGCTCAGTGGTTATTTGATGGGAACGTTATGGGATAGCGTTACAACTTACTCTATCCACCGGAAAGCCAAAGAACTTCTGCCAACGCATGTCGGGCACACGGAACACTCAACTTGGCAGAAGACAAGATTGAAGAAAAGATTATCGCAAATAGACGCTCTTTCAGCGACCCGACAAAACAGCTCTCCGCTCAGAAAAACACCGTCGGCACCCGCGCTACCAGCAAGAGAAAATCAGTGCGGAGAAGAATCAAATATTTTTTAGGTTCATGCAACCAAAACACTGAATGACTACCTGAACACCTCACCGGTTTAAAGATGAATCTGTCGGCCCTACATGCGGACAACAACCAATGAAATTACTATCATCTTCTTTTTTTCAGATTGAATTTCTTTCTAATTAATCGCATATTCCCTTCTCAATTAGCTACCCAAGAGGACTAGTCACTTTAGCCTATCAGGACAAGTGAGGCCTAAAGTGTCGTGACCATGCGAATGATAGAAGACTAAGCTCATGCGAAGCGATCGGTGACTGGCACCAGCAAAGCAGCTAAAACACACAAAATACCCAAAGCCAATCAGATCAATCAGATCGATAGGAGAAGAAGCCGTTGTTTAAGCGATGCGTTGTGGTGATTATCAGCCGTCTAACCTCCTCTTCTGTAGCTTTATTTACTTTAATTTCTTACATTTTGTTATTTCTACTATTGATTGTTAATTTTTTATATTTGCTACTTCGTTATATAATTAATAATTACGTTTGAATATTACACAATTTTTTTGTAATAAAGGTTTAATTATGCAAGTTTGAGGTATACTCACGCTCTCACGCATTTGACGTTCGTCACAACGACACGATTTATAAGCAGAAATATAGAAGAGTTATCCCTTCTACTTTTCTTTTACAAAGATTTTTTTCACTTCTTTATCAACATTTTTTTTTCTGTTATTGGTATTGATGCATGGAAGTTGAAGAGGATGAATGTTTACCACTGACACTGTTCCAATAACATTTGACTGCAACAAATTTTATGTATGCTATTCACTTTTATTATGTAAACGTTAGTATGACCCTTGTCAAATCAAAGTTGATAAAAAGTTTCTTTTTTCTTGCTTCTTTTCTTTTTGCTAATTATTTGTTGTCATCATACTGCAACAAAATAAATGCTAACCTTTGAAGATTAAAGAAAAAGAAGGGCAAAGAAAAAAGGAGAGTGAAGTAAAAGAAGTAAAAGAAAATTACACCCACAAAATAAATTTAGTTTTTTTTTTTTTGTTGAAATGACGTTTTTGATAATAACACAGACAGCCAGAAAAATATGGCTCATCGGTGATCAGTACACGCAACAATCTGCTGTTATTTTTAGTTTATCGTTGAAATTCGTTTGTTGCACCATATATCAGTTTTTGTTGATAGCTGGCTGTCTGTTGGTCCCTTTTTTTGTATGATACATGTGTATCCAACTTTAGAGCAACAAAATTTTACCATAGTTACAGTATTTGTTGATTAATTAATTACTGAACAATGTCTAGTCATTCAATTTATTTACTTTTTCATTAATTTATGTATCTGAGAAGTATTTCTGGCGCAGCAACAGTCAGGAAGCCGTAGACTATCAGGTTATTGGTCGCAGATTATTTTACCGCTTTACTTCTTGTACGGTTTTGACTACAAAAAAATAATGGATAACTGCAAGAAATAAAAAAAAAAGATTTGACAACAGAAATTCACCTGTTTTAAGCGTGACACTTTCTGTGACTAAATTTTTGCATAGCTATAAAGTTCTCAAGCAACGAACAAGGTCCATATTACACAATTAAATAAGGTTCATATTGTTGAATAAAAAGAAAAAAACATTCAGTCTTTGTGTTTTTGTTTTTTACATTACCGTAGTTTGGGGAAATAACATTTCAAAATGGCGTCCATATTCGTTGTCCTGAAAATTATTATCGCTAATCAAGAGCAAAAAGAAAAACGACGACAACAACAAAAAAGAATTTGATTTTTTAATGAAACTATATGTCTTTTCAACAATACAGCCATACATACATCTGTGTGCCAGTTGTCAGTCAGTATTACACAACAAAGAACAAGGATTACGAGATCACTTGGACCATTTATTTATTGGATCTATATAATGTAGGCCAAAAAAAAAAAAGTTTTTTGCATAAATATTTTAAATTTAGTTTAGCATTAAGACTACGTAAAAGAAAAAAAACCCTAAAATACGATGAACTTTTGCAATGCAGGAAGTATTCTGAAAGTTGAGTTGAAGTTGCTAATCTGTAAAGGAACAAGTGGTTGGCCACCAGCCAAGTGTCGAATGATACGCTTTAATGACGTTGTTTCAATAAATCAACGACAACAATTGTTCGCATATGTCTTATTAATTAGCAAATAATATAGCAAGCAAAAATAACTTTAAATTATTACTAAATTTAGGCTGCTTTATTGGAGTCAAATTTTCTTTTTATTCTACCTTAACACCATATTTTTTCTTCCGCCTATAAAATAATCTGCTATCAAAATACACATATATAAATGTATAAAATTTGTTTTTCTACTTGTATACTTTACAGCAACAGGTTGGAAATTTTGCCAAACCTGTTCTAAGGCGAAAAAAAGAGAAGTTGCAGTAAGCACAAAAGAAGAATGAAGTTGTGAAACAATTTACACCTTCTTTTTGGCAGTAAGAAAGAATAATGAATTAAACTGTACAGTAAATTCAATCATTTTCTTCTGGTAAATAAATAGGTGAGTAATGTTTGAATGCAAAAAAAAAAAAAAAAATTTTTTTTTAATTTTATTATATCAATTTGACTAATTATAGCTTAGTGAACAACAGTTTATTATTTCGCTTTTTGAGCTCTGATTAATTAAACAACGAATTGTCTTCGTTGTTACTTTTTTCTTTTGCTTTGCTATGCTTTTATTTTTAGACTTATAAAAAAATATTTTAAATAAAAAATATTAGAAAAAAAAGGAAAAAAAAAATATTCTTTATTTTTAGACTACGTTAAGACTTTCAGTTTTTTTTGGTGGATATTTGCAGTCTTAGAAGGCACATAAATTTTCTGCTTAATATCACTGTTGTCAAGCGCTATTTTTTTGAATTGCAGCTCTCGCCACAGAGCATTGTCACTTACGTCTTGTTGACCTATTATTTGTATTCAGAATTTTAAGCAAATACTATTGTAGAAAAGTTGATTAAGTTTTAGCATCAATAGTAGCAGCAGCAGTATCAACCAGGAAAAAAAAAAGAAGGCAGTTAATAAGGCATAACATAATTGGTTATGTAACAGTAGCAGAGAGTTGCAGAATGATATCAAATTAAAAAAAAATTCATTTTTTTTTCAGCAGAAAGTTGCAAAATGGTATCAAATTAAAAAAAAAATTCTTTTTTTTGAAATTTTTAACCTTATAACCCACCATTCTATGTCAGCGTTGATGACGATACTTCAAAAAAAAAAAAAAAAAAAAAAAAAAAAAAAAA